CCTTATTTTGACCCCATTCCCTCCTTTCCCCGTCCCCCACCCCCCATAGAGTGTCTCTGGTTCATAGTTGTTTGTTGATTTCGATATTTTCTTTCTTATAGTTATTCTTTTTCCTGGTCCCTTATTTAGGTTTTCTAGATTCCTGCTATGAGTGAGACCATCTGGTATTTTTCTTTTTCTTTCTGGCTTATTTCGCTGAGTGTGATCCCTTCCAGCTCCATCCATGTTGCTGCAAATTGCATGTGTTTATCTTTTTTGAATGCTGAGTAATATTCCATGGTGTATATGTACCACATCTTCTTGATCCAGTCATCTATTTTTGGGCATTTGGGCTGTTTCCAAAGCTTAGCTATTGTAAACAGTGCTGTTATAAACATAGGGGTGCAGGTGCTCTTTGGAATTGATGTTTCTGTGTCCTTTGGGTAAATACCTAGGAGTGGAATTGTTGGATCGTATGGAAGCTCTATGTTTAGTAGGTCCAGAAATCTCCACACAGCTCTCCATAGTGGTTGGACCAGTTTGCACTCCCATCAACAGTGCAGGAGAGTTCCTTTTTCTCCACAACCTCGCCAACATTTGTTGTTGCTAGCTTTTTCAATATGTGCCATTCTCACTGGTGTAAGATGGTATCTCATTGTTGTTTTGATTTGCATTTCCCTGATTACAAATGGTGTTGAACATTTTTTCATATGCTTGTTGGCCATTTGCATTTCCTCTTCAGAGAAGTTTCTTTTTAGCTCTTCTGCCCAATTTTTGACTGGATTATTTTCTTTGTTTTTGTTGAGCCTCATCAGTTCTTTGTAGATTTCTGTGATCAGTCCTTTATCATTAGTGTTGTGTGCAAAAATGTTCTCCCAGTTGGTGGGCTTTCTCCCATCTATGTCATTAAATAGCATGCATGCACTGCCACTTTTTGAAATTTAAGTCTAGGCATTGTTCTTTGATTTCCACTATAGAAGATAAGGAGTTAGCTATTTTTCACTTCTGCTCCATCACCCTAGCCTCCCGGTATAGTAATACATAACATTAATTAGCTCACTTGCATTATTATTTGTGTAAATTCTATTTAGAATAGCACCAGGTGATAATATATAATTTTACCTTTTCACAATTTTTTATTATAAAAATTGTTATAACAGTATTTTTTTTTACATTTGTTCCTTAGTTGTGTATGTATTATCTGTGTAATTATTCCTTGATAAACACTATGTTCTCTATTAGTCCAATAAATCCAAGACATTCTAGTACCTTCAGCAGTATTCTGGTCCAGACTGCTTGCCCTGCACCTGTAGCTAACAGTCAATTCTTGAACTTTCTCCACCCATCCTGGAGATTTCTTCATCTCTCTACCATGTTACATCACTGATTTCCTGTATCCTATAAATTCCTCCTTCTTAACTCTTTATTTTGATGGAACACATTCTCCAGTAGTTTCCTGAGACAGGAACATACAAAGTAAATCCTCTGGAACTGCAAGGTTTTGTAATTTCTCCTCCATGTATTTAAATGTGGATTTAAAAAATATTATCCAGCTTGTGACCTATACTTCCTGCATCTAAGACTGCATATATTTTAGAATTCTGTACAATTTTTAGTCATACCTCTTCTATTGTTGCTTTTCCTCACTGTCTTTATTCTTGCCTTCTAGAATGAAGATCTGATATGTGGCTCTTCTTATTTCATTATCTAGATCTCTTAAATTCTCTTTTATATTTATCATGCTTCTCTTTCTCTTTAATAGTCTGAATAATTTCTTCATATCTATCTGCCAAGTTACTGTTTCTTTTTCCTAAGTGTTTGTTTAACCTGTCCAACTTTTAAATTTAAAAGAAAAAATTTTTTAATTTCTGTTAAGTTCTACTTGTTGCTATAGGTAATCATACAGGTCTTTATTATTATTCTGTAATGTCTCCCCCCCCTACTTATTTGATCATTTAGGATAGTTTATCTGATGTTCTTGAGGTCTAATCTGGTGTTTTACTGTTGATGCTCATTCAGAGTAGAGTACTTGTAATTTTGGATTTTAAATCCATGATAGGGTTATCTATTGGATTACCATGTGGCCTAGGTTAAGGATTTGTCCTTCTGAAGATATTTTATTTGTCCTGTGGGCACTCAGAGTAGCATTAGTCCAGAACATCTCTTTTTGTTAATTTCTCAGTTTGGGCCTACTTGGACCATGTAAATTTTGTCTTGTTACAGCATGTGGCGGGGGGATGAAAATGGATTACTCAGAGTCCATGTCCAGAACAATGAGAAGCCTAGAGGGACTATACCAGGAAGGTGCAGCCCAGCTCCAAGGGCAGTCTCATTTTTATTTAGAATCAGACAGAAAATAAAAGATCAAAGAAGCCAGCAGGCAAATGAGGAATGCACAAGTGTATGGGGGATACGTAACCAGCTGGCCCCAAGCAAGGCTGAGAAATAAGGAGAAAGAAAGCCAAGGAAAGTCTCAGTGTTTATGCTACTCTAACCATAACACCTATTGCTGTTTCTGCACATGGTGTTTTCAGTGTGTCTAGATCCTCACACCAGGACCTTTGCTCTGAGAGGTTCCTTATGTTAAACTTCCCCTGTTTCTACATACGCTGTTTTCAGCATGTATAGATCCTCATACCAGGACTTTTGACCTTAGAGTTCCTTATCAACTATCCCTGTTTCTTCACACTGAGAGGCACAGAATACTCAAAGCAATGAATAATCAAGGCAGAATATATGAGGCACACAATAATACAAACTCCCACAAAATTTGAATCTAAAAACTAATGAAGGGGTTAAGTTGTAGCACTATGAAGCAATTCACAGCTACTGCAGCATGAGTTCAATCCCCAGGCAGGAAGGTGACCCACACGGTGCAGCACACCTCTCCTGATGCACTTACTGCTCCCCTCAGCAATGTATTTCGGTAGATCTGCTTGTTCTGTTTCCCACTCTGTCTCTGGTGAATCCTCTCACCCTCTGCACCTCTGGCCTGTACCCCAGTTCTTGTATGCATAAACAAATACATCTTTTAAAAAAATAAAATCCTATGAAGGCAAGTCTGTTGTTAAGAATTTTCAGAGGAAACTTTTTTTTTTTTTTTACCAGAGTAACTTTTTATTTTTTTAATTTTTTTTTTAATTAATAAATTTTATTTTTATATTCCCCATACAATTGCAATCCCCCCATTCTGACCCCAATCCCTCCCCTCCCGCCCCCCACCCCCAAAAAGTGTCTCTGGTTCATAGTTTTTTGTTGATTTTGATTTTCACTTTCTTATATTCATTTTCCTGGTCCCTTATTTAAGTTTTCTAGATCCCTGCTATGAGTGAGACCATCCGGTATTTTTCTTTTTCTTTTTGGCTTATTTCACTGAGCATGATCCCTTCCAGCGTCATCCATGTTGCTGCAAATTGCATGTGTTTATCTTTTTTGAATGCTGAGTAATATTCCATGGTGTATATGTACCACATCTTCTTGATCCAGTCATCTATTTTTGGGCATTTGGGCTGTTTCCAAAGCTTAGCTATTGTAAATAGTGCTGCTATAAACATAGGGGTGCAGGTGTTCTTTGGAATTGATGTTTCTGTGTTCTTTGGGTAAATACCTAGGAGTGGAATTGCTGGATCCTGTGGAAGCTCTAAACATTTTATCCTCATGCAGGACTCAGGCCAAGATAGAGAAGCAACTTCGTCACCTTCTGTGTGGGTGAGGAGACAGCTTTTTCTGATCCATTGTTGCACCAGAATCATTGGGGGTCTGTTCTGTGAAAGAACTTGTCTCCTATTCCTTCCTGGCACTAACACCCAAATCCTGTCCACCATGTTGGACAATGCCTGTTCCTGTGCACCCCCTCTGCTTCCTGTCATAGCCTCATCAGCTCAGCTGCTCCTGCTCTGGTTTTCAGCTCCCTCTACTTGAGGGCCTGCTGATTTCCTTTGCTTTACCCTGTTGCCAGTTCTGACAGGCAGAGAGAAGGAGGTTTGTTATAGCTGATCCAGCATTTCTAGGTGTTTGGGAGTAAGAAGATTTTTCAGGCCATCTTGTCCACAGTGTTAGCGTCTGTACTTTTAAGATTGAGAGATAAAGGGCTAGTGGGAGCTTAAAAGAAACATCCAACTGACAGGTCAGGAAAGATGTTAGGGGGATAAACGGGGAGAGAAACTTGGGGAGGGCACAGCAGATACAAAAGCACAGAAGCAGGAAAGGACCATGCAGGTCTGCAGAACAGCACAGAACTCTTATCTGCTGGAGTGTGTCTGTGAAGGGGAAATGCATGGGGATCCACAAGGAGCAGGGAGCTAGTAAAGTTTCATAGAAGGGAATGGTACAATCACAAACTTTGTCCTAGGAAATTTAAACTGAATGTTCAAGATGAAGAGATGCAGGTGGCATCCTTCCTTCCAGCCTCCTGCCTCATGGCCTCTTTTGTGGCCCTCTCTGCCCCTGTTTCAGTTGGCACCCAATGGGGACTCAAACCCACGACCCTGAGATTAAGAGTCTCATGCTCCACCGACTGAGCTAGCTGGGTTTGGAAATTTGGTGGTGGAGGCTGTGGAAATAGCCCAACGTGGGGCCCGAACCCATGACCCTGAAATAAAGAGTCTCATGCTCTGCTGACTGCGCCAGCCGGGTCTGGAAAGTTGATGGTGTAGGCTGTGGAAATAGCCCAGGAGAGAGGGTTGTGGGAATGAAGAGGAGGGAGCCTTTGGGAGGGAGACGGTGAGAGAGACTGAGCCAGATAAAGAACCTGAAAAAGAAATCTGGGTCAAAAACTGGGGAAGAAATGCTAAGCAAGCACATTGTCTGAATCTTGGGAAAACATCAACAGTAATTGAGCTGTGTTCTACCTTTTTATATTGTTCAGGTGCTGCCCACTAATGCTAATACACAGTTCATCTCTACTCTGTATGTGGCTAAAGATGTTTTTAGGCTGCTTGATAAATAGGTCTGTCTGATTTAGAGACAGCATGTCCCCCCAGAGCTCCCGGAAGTGAGTCAATATGTGTTGTCTTTTCCAGAATCTGCTGACATGACCGATCATGGGGCTGAGGAGCCTTCCTCCAGGACAGGGAGTTCAGATGGGGACGGTCAGGAGGACAGATGGTCGCTCCATCAGGGGCTGGCCATCAGGGAGCTCATAGACACTGAAGTGTCCTACTTGCATATGCTCCAGCTCTGTGCCTCAGACATCAGGAGCCGCCTGCAGCAGGTACCTGGGTGGGGCCACACAGTTTGTTGTTACAGTGGTAAAGAGGGTCCTGGCTCAGGAGACCTCACCTCTGTCCCTGGGATGGGCCTGCTAGCAGGGGAAGGCATGGTGAATGTGACCTCTGACAGACGTGGACATAAGCCCTGGCCAGTACCTCCAATTTATTGGCCATGCAACTTTCAGCAAGGTATTTAATGCCTTGGAGCCTTAATGTATACATTTGATACATTTGCTGAATTGGGGGGGGGGAGATAATTACATTAAATGAGTGAATGGATAAAATGGCCCTTTTTGGAGTTTAGAAAGCCAGCTTAAACTGACCTGCCTTCTAATGATCTCATTTGAAGGGTGGTGACATGGAGATGTTATCACCATAATGGATTTCTGTTTTGGTGTCTTTTTTTTTTTTAACATTTTTGTCACCCCTGATTTCAGAAATAATTAGGAACATACTATAAAATTTTAGGCATTCCCTGGCATGTAACTCTCTAAGGACAAGGACTGTTTAGTTCAATATATTCCAATTGCTGACATGTAAGTGATGGACTTTCAATTAGTATTTCTTGAATGAATGAAATACTAAAGTCAATAATGTATAAAGTGAAAGTTCTCTCTTATTTTACTCTCTAGAAATTAGCTTTATTCTGCTGACATTCAACAAAGAGAGATTATTATTTTTTCTGACAAAAATGAGAGCTTTGTCTAGCTATATTTGTAGAGTTAGCTTTTCCCACTTGACTGTGTGCACAGGATAGATACATACATACCTCCTCTGCATGCCCAAACACTTATATAGATGTCCTGCAACCTTTTAAACAGGGGGTTGCCCAATTAATAGGGGGAGAGGTGAGCTCAGAATACATCTCAAGGTAATGCTGGTAGGTGCCAAGTATGTCGGAGCTGGATATGACCTGATATGACAGATGGGGAAACTGAATGAAGAAAATAATAATTGGCAGCAGATGTAGAATGAAGCCCCAGCTCAGCTCTCCTTCCATGCTGAGTGCGCCATCTCTTTCTTCTTGTTGAGTAATTAAAATATCTAATTTATAAAATTTCAAAGTCCTTGCTAACATTCCATGGTGACAGTTTTCCCTGGAGGGGTGGGGCCCTATGGTGTGAGGGCTCAGGACAACTCTGCAAAGTCTGCAAATAAAGTCACTTTGACAAGTTCCCAGTGACCTCCAGGGCTACTTTTTTCCTTCCAGCTGCCACAGGGAGATCTGGATGTCCTGTTCTCAAACATCGATGATATCATCAAGGTAAATAGCAGATTTCTTCACGATCTGCAGGAGACTGCCACCAAGGGAGAGGAACAAGCGCAGCTAATTGGTAAGCAAGGGACTGAGCATTTGTCAGCCTTGGATTCCTGGGGGATTGTCCTCTGCTTGTAGGCACTGCTGACCTGTCTGCAGTGTTCTGAGTAAATGCAGCTCAGCAAGAGTCTGTTTTAGGTGATTCCTCAACCGTAGCATTTCAGAGCCGGCAGGGTCTTCAAATAATACCTAATCCAATTACACAGTTTACAGATGAAGACATTGAGGCCAGAGGCATTGCCCTCACAGCCTGTGTCTTTACTATGTGGCTTTTTCACATCAATTCATTGGACAGTTGTCTCTGAGCGCCTGCGCTGTGCAATATGCTGGTGTCACAGCGTCAACTGGGAGCCCCAGCTTCTGCTCTTATGGGTGGACAAGTTAGTGAGACAGAAGATAAAAGATAAACACAGAATTTTAGGTAGTAGTTTGTAATTTAGAGGAAAGAAACAATTGTAGTAACTTGAGTCCTGAAGAGGACCCCCAAATAGGGTCCTCTGCCCAGCAAGGCAGTGATCTGCCACATAGGTTTTGCATCAGGGAAAGTGACCTTATTACTGACCATGATGGGGTTTTCGGAGTCTGTGGATTTGGAGTGCGGGGTCCTTGGGTTCACTCTGGGAAAGGTTTCACCAGAGTTCTGTTGCAGCGAGTTTCCCAGGCAAGTTTCTCCACGAGACAGAGACGTCAGTTATATTTAAAGGGCAGGTTTATTAGGGAAAGAGACAAAGCAGTAAAAGACACTTGCATAGACACAGGCAGGCAGGACGAGCTGCCCGGGAAGGAACAGGCCTGAGAAAGGCCTGTAGGGTTGCAGGCGGGCGTTCTTGAGGGGAGCTGCCTCTGCTGAGGGAGGTCAGTGAAGAGAAGCCCTGGCATGGGACAGGTCACGGTCAGGCAGGAAGGCTGCTGCCCTGCAGAGGGAGAGAGTTGGTGAAAAGAAGCACTGCGTGGGCAGACAGACTGCTGCCCCATTGTGAGGGCTGCGTTAGGTTTTTTCATCTTTAGGGAGGGCCTCTTTGTAGGTGAATGGTGTGCTCCTGACATTCCCCACAGCAGTCCAATAGTTTCTGGGTGTTGTGCCTCCTGATCTGGGTGTTGATGCCTAAGGGCCCTGGTCTCTGCAACTGGCCTACACTCATCCCATCTACCCCTCCCTCCCTGTGCCAGCCAGGGTCCCGACCCTGTATCTCCCTTCTTCCATCAACCAGTCCGGTAAGGAAGCCAGGAGTCTGCTGAAATCTGGCCTCCTCCTATCATGTGGGTCAAGTCTTTTATTTATTTATTTATTTGTTTATTTTAAAGATTTATTTTGTTTTTTTATGCATACAAGAGGGGTGGTGAGAGGATTCACCAGAGACAGAGTGGGGAGCAGAACAGGCCTATTGGCTGAAATACACTGCTGAGGGTGCAGCGGGCGAGACAGGAGAGGTCTGTTGCTCCATGTGGTAGCTCCCCGACTGGGGATTGAACTCATGCTGCAGTGGCTGCGGATAGCTTCATAGTGCTGAGATTTAACCCCTTGTGCCATCACAGAGGCCCATGTTTAGGTTTTTTAAAGGTAGGGTAAATGGGAAGTAGGGAATGGACCACAGGGAGTGGTCAGGAAAAGGAGAAATCTGGAGTTTTTCTAAGCAATGGGTGCTGTTCATGCCTCTTCATGCATCACATGCTCATTGTGGGGGAGGCTTGGTATGTGCAGGGTTGTGGGATTTGTTGGGCTCCACTTCACAAGGTTATTCTCAGCCAGCTTTTAGGCAGTCATGCAAGTACTTTGGGACTTTTCTACGGATGGTCAGTCTAAACCTGCCCCAACTGGTCCCCGACTGGTCAGGCCGACCAACTTTGAAAAGAAACAGGCAGATTATAAATCCCGAAAAGGAGGATGTAAACTGGAAACAAAGTTTCAATAATAGTTAGAGAGTCTATTAGATGATCAAAGTGAGGATTTGAACCCAGGAAGCAGTTTGAAAGATATTACTCTGTGAGAGCTGATCGCTTATCTGATAAAATAAGTTTGAATTTACTTATATAGGTAGGAACAGTGAGTCATTGACATGAAGAATGTAATTATTCTTAGTTCTAAGTTGTCCTGACCTAAAGATATACTGATGCTAGCAGGAGGCAATGCCGGGCTCACTCTCTTCCTTTCTAAAGAATGCAGTGCAGACAATGGAATATTACTCAGCAATCAAAAAAGATAAACTCATGCCATTCGCAATGACATGGATGGAGCTAGAAGGAATTATGCTCAGTGAAATAAGCCAGAAGGAAAAAGATGGTTTCACTTATAACAGGAATGTAGGGGAACCAAATAAGACAACAGTGTAAAAAATAATAATAATAACAGTACAAGCCACAACAAAGCAAAAACAGACAATTATAAACCAGAGTCATCCTGCAGGGGAGGAGGAGGGAGAGGGATCAGAGGGAGGGAGGGAGGAGCACAGGGGACTGTGGTGATGGTGCACAGGTGCCTTGGGGAAGGAAATTCTGGGGGACTAAATCTGAGGGGGTGGGGGAAAGCAAAGATGTAAAAAATGTAAAAAAATGATTAAAAAATGATAAAAAAATGTCTAAAAAAAGTAAAAAATGATAAATGTTGAAAGAAAGAAAGAAAGAAAGAAAGAAAGAAAGAAAGAAAGAAAGAAAGAAAGAAAGAAAGGAAAAGAAAAATAAAAGAATGCAGTGCAGAGATGCAACCTGGGTACCCATTGTTAAATTTTTTTAATTAATAATTTTATTTATTTTAAATAAATAAATTTAATAATAAATTTATTAATTTTATTTATTTTAAATACTTTTTTACATGGTTCTTCATTTATTTACAATGTGTGCTTTCTCAACTCAGTTATTGTCCCCATGAAATTCCCACCACCCATTCACCAGTGTACCGTCACTATGGTCCCTTGATCTCTTCCCACCCCTGTTTCGATCCTACTCCCTTCTTCCCCCATGCAGAATGTCCCTGGTTTATAGTGCTTGGTTAAATGTTCTTTATCTGGCTCATTGGTCGGGAGTGGGTGTGAAAAGATTGGCTTTACCTTTAGGCAGCAGAATTCCTGCATCAACTGTGGGGTGGAGCCTGTTCACGCTTTAAGTCTATGAAGATAACTGCTCTCTTGCCTGCTAGCTGGGGAGTGGAGGATGGGACCTCAGAAAATTTTACTATAGGTTCACAGGAATATACATGGGAAAGAAAGAGTAGAGTTAGTTCTTTACACAATTTTGATTTCCTTGAAAAAACAGACCCCTGTGCTTTGCAAGACTGCCTTTTACCTCTGTGCACTGCAACATGACTTTTTACTTTACAAAATCTTCTGTGTTTTATGAAACAGTTTCCAACCATGGACATAAGCCCCTGCCTTACAAAACAATGTCTGACCACACCTTTACTTCATTTTATTTTTTTTTTATAATAAAATTTATTTTTATATTCCCCCATACAATTGCAAACGCCCCATTCTGACCCCAATCCCTCCCCTCCCGCCCCCACCCCCCAAAAAGTGTCTCTGGTTCATAGTTTTTTGTTGATTTAGATTTTCACTTTCTTATAGTTATTCATTTTCCTGGTCCCTTATTTAAGTTTTCTAGATTCCTGCTATGAGTGAGACCATCCGGTATTTTTCTTTTTCTTTTTGGCTTATTTCGCTGAGCATGATCCCTTCCAGCGCCATCCATGTTGCTGCAAATTGCATGTGTTTATCTTTTTTGAATGCTGAGTAATATTCCATGGTGTATATGTACCACATCTTCTTGATCCAGTCATCTATTTTTGGGCATTTGGGCTGTTTCCAAAGCTTAGCTATTGTAAATAGTGCTGCTATAAACATAGGGGTGCAGGTGTTCTTTGGAATTGATGTTTCTGTGTCCTTTGGGTAAATACCTAGGAGTGGAATTGCTGGATCCTATGGAAGCTCTATGTTTAGTAGGTCCAGAAATCTCCACACAGCTCTCCACAGTGGTTGGACCAGTTTGCACTCCCACCAACAGTGCAGGAGAGTTCCTTTTTCTCCACAACCTCGCCAACATTTGTTGTTGCTAGTTTTTTTAATATGTGCCATTCTCACTGGTGTAAGATGGTATCTCATGGTAGTTTTGATTTGCATTTCCCTGATGACAAGTGATGTTGAACATTTTTCATATGTCTGTTGGCCATTTGCATTTCCTCTTCAGAGAAGTTTCTTTTTAGCTCTTCTGCCCATTTTTTGACTGGATTATTTTCTTTGTTGTTGCTGAGTCTCATCAGCTCTTTGCAGATTTTTGTGATCAGTCCTTTATCATTAGTGTTGGGTGCAAAAATGTTCTCCCAGTTGGTGGGGTTTCTCTTTGTTTTTGTTATTGTCTCTTTTGCTGTGCAGAAGCTCTTTAATTTGATGTAGTCCCAGCTGTTTATCTTTGCCTTCACTATCACTGCTTTGGGTGATGTGTCTGTAAAGATGTCTTTGATGTGCAAATCCCGTAGTGTTTCGCCTATATTTCCTTCTATGTATTTTATGGTTTCAGGTCTTATGTCTAGTTCTTTAATCCATTTTGAGTTGATTTTTGGGTATGGTGTGAGGTAGTGGTCAAGCTTCATTCTTTTGCATGTAGCGACCCAGTTTTTCCAGCACCATTTATTGAACAAACTTTCTTTGCTCCAATGCATATTCTTTGCTCCTTTGTCAAAGATTAGTTGACCATAAATCTGTGGGTTTATTTCTGGATTTTCTATTCGATTCCATTGGTCTGTATGTCTGTTCTTGTTCCAATACCATGCAGTTTTGGATGATTATGGCTTTGTAGTAGAGGTTGAAGTCTGGGAGTGTGATCCTCCATTCCCTTCTTTTTTTTTTCAGGAGAGCTTTGGCTATTCGGGGTTTTTTGTGATTCCATATGAATTTCATCAATAATTGTTCTATTTCTTTGAAGAATGACATTGAAATTTTGATTGGAATAGCATTGAATCTGTATATTGCTTTTGGTAGGATGGCCATTTTAATAATGTTTATTCTTCCAATCCATGAGCAGGGGATG